AATTTAAGGGATCTCCGATCAGATTTTATAAGTTTTAGTAACCGAAAAAAAGGTCCAAAAATCAAAATTAGCGCAGACGTTTAAGTTAGATCACATTAAACAATCGACTTCCTAAACTTTCCGTTTCTGCTCGCAATTTGTCGAGTGGCACTTGAAGTGATTATAAATGACGTACGAGAGTTTCCTATACATAATACTTGTCTCTTATATATACACATATACATGTGTGTGAAATTGAAAGTGTATACGCACTTTCTTAAGAGATCGCGTCTTCAAAGTTTTCCGCTATTAATGAATGATATAAGATTAAAACGATACTTGAAAAATGCAAATAATTTTGATGAAATAATTCTGTTTTTACTTTGTGATAAATTATTATCTGCTATATTGACTAGTCGCTAAGTGTAAAGAAATGAGAAAGTAATCGTGCATACTTTTAAACGTTTAACGTTAAACGCGACTTAACTTGATAAGTCAAATTCACGTGCACGAAGTTGAATCACTGACTGGACCCGGAACAGGACCCCTAGAAATTTGTGTATCATTACCGTTACGTAAGATTTATGGTAAAAAAATAAAAATACTTTCTATGATCATAACTTTTGATATTCATTTAAAGGACAGTGAAAAATGAGGAAAATGAAGGTATAATATTCTTATCAGTTTATTAAATTCAAGTTTAAAAAAGAATTACTTATTTTTTTTGTATAGATATTGCCTGTAAAAAAAAGAGGTAGATTAGTCATGTCACAAAAAATTGGCAGTGACGTGTATACAAGCCACTCAGACTATATTTCTGTATTCGGCAAAAAAAGTTTTTAAAGAATTCGTACGTATTGTACGTAGAACTTTTTTAGATCCCAAGTTATAAGTATACGTAAAACTAGCTAATGTTCTTTCTTATCTATATAGTACTACGTATAGAAATTATAATCGGTAATGTTTGTAGACGGCCTAAGTTGTCGACTTGACTAAGCCAATATTTAAATTTTGGCAAATTGTTGTAAAGTTAGTGTAACGATAAAAATAGAAATATATTAAAATACAGTTCTGACTATAATAATGGCTATCTCAGGCGGATTTCAGTGTTTAATAATCAATGACAATATTTCATAAAAGTTAATTCAACATTTATGTGATATTGTAATAATTTTTGATAGAAGTGATATTGTACGTATGAACTCTATTGTTTACTTTAGCTATGATCATGAAGTTGATACGTAATAAATCATTACGTATGTTAGTTTTAATAATTACATTTCTGTCAAAAATTTTCACCCATATGTAGGGTTGTTAATAGACTATAATAACCCACTTCTGGAGTACTCCGGAGTGGGTTATATGTGTTATTATTGACTGGAGCACTCCATTAACAACCCTACCCATATGTATTAATGCTGGTAGAACGTTTGTAATGCCAATGTAATTATTATTTGATAATTCGACTAGGCACCATACTTGCACCCAAATCCCCAACTAACATAGTTTGGGTTTGTCTACGCCCAAATCCCAAACTCTGGCCAAACTAATATCTCAAAAACTTTATTAAAATCTTTATTTAAACAGATGATAATATTCTTATAACTATGTATATAATCTATTTTTAATTTTTTTTAAAAGGCAATTGTATTTTTTGGGTTTGGGATTTGTCCGGATTTTGCTAGCAAATATAGTTATAATAGTGGAACTGGTTTTTTTGCAGAATATGTTTCATATATGAGAGTACTTGCAATTTTTTTTCGAACTTAACAGGCCCTTAATTATAGTTGTTTGTCTTAGTCCTTAAATATAATTTGCAGTGTTCTTTTTCTTGTTGCTAGGTTCATGTCAGGTCACTGAATTGATAAACTCAAAACTTTGTGTCCAAACATAACTTCTCTGCGCACTTTATTGTAAGCGCTGTTTGTCTTTTTCATCCTATATCAATCGTTTGATTTAGTCGTTCAACTTGACCTTGTGACTCTGGGTGTCGTGGACGGTCATGCCGGATTGTAATTCCAAGTGTTTAGCAAATATGATTAATAATATCAGTTATAAACTCCCGGGGAGGTACCGGGGTTTGGGTGAACTCTACAAGGGGCATTAGTAAGTAATGGTAGCGGCTTCGACTCGAGCACCTGTTCTCGAACTTGGCGTAGTTTATCGAAAGTCTAGGTTAGCTAGAATGTAGATATGAAAAGCTCTAGCAGGTTTACCTACCATTATCTGATTGCAGAATTGATGGCACGCCCCAGCGCTTTCCTTATGATCTTTATACGCTGTAAGGTCTACAAGATCCATTTACAGATGCTCCATGAGCCGTGACTTACAATTTACAACCGATTACACGTGCGCATTTTAAAATGAACTTGTAAACGTTCTTTTTTGTAATGCTGATATGTAATCAGATTTTGTAGTAACAACCCCAATGTTAATATATGATGTTCTTGAACAAGAAACTTGAGATCGATGAAATTTTAAATTACATGAAGGTATGTACAAAGTGACTAAGTTGTTGGTTTGCCAAATTCAATTGACGTTTTGTTTTACCGTGGTAGGCATTATCCCGTTGAAGATAAGTAACTGTATTTTGTTATTCAGTGTCTTTGGAAATTTAACGAGATCATGCCATATTTATAAATTATCATTTTATACGTAATATCGTAATAATGATATGCTACTATGATAATCGCTGTAGTATACTATATTCACATTCTAATATAGTATATCACACAAGTTAATACACATCGCAAGATAAATTTGATATTATCGATCATAAACAACTGTAATGCGCTAAAATACAAATTTTCTTCGTAGATCTATATAAATGTCTTGTGCAAGTAACGTGATATTGTATGTGAGTGCATGCTAGATTTTATCTTGCACACAAAGCCTCTCATTTTCAATATATTTGGAGCTCTTAAATATGTGGATCAGTAAAGACGGCCTCCAAAATCTGAGTCACATAATTGGCAGTATTCTCTTTTCTGAATTGTCAGAATCTAAAAGGTAGAAGAATACTGCAACTACTGAACTATATCACCAATTTTTAATCAAGGTTTTGGGGCAGTCTTGATTGATCCCTATTTTAAAACCCTGAATTTATTGAAAATGCACTCTAGGTTAAAAAAAGTGCAACGTGTTCACGTGACTGTATCACGTCCCTCACATTAAATGGGGCCTTTGCTATGATTTTTTTTTACTAAAAATAGATTTGTTATGATTTTACTAATTAAAATCTTGTGTAACAATAGCTCGGAGGGTCATTTTGTTAGCAAAAGCCCCAAATATTATAATTCTCAAAAATATTACATAAAAGATATTTATTTTGAATTAAATAAAATTTTCTTTTTTTGTTACAAATTTATATATTAAATTGGGATACATCGATACATCAGCTCAATTAATCAATAAATCAAAGCATTTCAAGCTACTTCAAGGTTTCACCTTTCTGATCTGTTTTTTTTTTGCTTTTCTATTTGTTAAAGAAATTTTGATTCCTTTTTGACCCTTCTTTCTGTACATGGACGTAAGTGGAACGTAAGCGTAAGGATCTGGTTTTCCTTTTCGTTTCACATCACCTTCTGCATTTTTCGCTTTATATTCTTTGCCAACTGTGATAGTATTTCGTTTATATCTATTTTTTTTGTTTCTTTTTGCAACAATGTCAATGGGTTCGATATCATCCAATTCCATATCATTATCATTGTCTCTCTGCCCCTTGTTGAATTTAACTTTACTTCCTTGACCGCGTGTAAAACCAACACTAGATCGTTGTGCCTCTAAATAATAATTATCTGATTCGTTCATCTCAATATCAGAACCTTGAGATTCCTCATCAGATTCATTGATTATCATGCGACCATCATTTGTTTTATTGAATTCATTAAATAATGACGTATCACGTTTTGTTGTTTTTCGATTAATAGGGTTTGATCCAATGATCTTTGAAATACAACTTTTATCCAAAAAATCCACTGGTGAATCATTATCT